CCATACTGATTTCCAAAGTGGCTGTACAAGTTGGCACTCCCACCAGCAGTGGAGAAGTGTTCCCCTTTCTCCACATCCTCTCCAGCATGAAGTGTCATTGGTGTTTTTTATTTTGGCCATCTGACAGGAGTAAGATGGTATCTCAGAGTTGTTTTGATTTGGATTTCCCTGATGGCTAAGGATGTTGAACACTTTCTTATGTGCCTTTCAGCCATTTTAGATTCCTCTATTGAGAATTGTCTATTTAATTCTGTGCCCCACTTTTAAATTGGATTGTTTGGTGTTTTGGAGACTAGCTCCTTGAGTTATTTGTATATTTTGGAGACAACCCCTCTGTCAGATGTGGGGTTGGTGAATATCTTTTCCCATTCTGTGGGATGCTGTTTTGTCTTACTGACTGTGTCCTTTGCCTTACAGAAGCTTCTCGGTTTCAGGAGGTCCTATTTATCAATTGTTGATCTCAGTGTCTGTGCTACTGGTGAGGGAAGCAGTCTCCTGTACCAATTAATTCAAGGGTATTTCCTACTTTATCTTCTAGTAGGTTCAGTGTGGCTGGGTTTATGTTGAGGTCTTTGATCCATTTTGTTTTAAGTTTTGTGCATGGTGATAGACTTGGATCTATCTTCAGTCTTCTACATGCCAGTATCCAGTTATGCCAGCACCATTTGTTGAAGATGTTCTCTTTAGTCCATTGTATAAATCTAGATTGTTTGTCAAAAATCAGGTGACTGTTCAGATTTTTATTAAACTAGAATGATACATATTAACAATGTAAAAAAGATTATTCTACATCATTTCTCCCCTTTTGTCTAAATAGAAAGGAAAGGTTTTAAGTCTAATATAGTAAAGCTATATACAATAAGAACAATTATCAGGTATTATCTAAATAGAAAGGGAAGGTACTAACTTTAACAAATGAAACTATAAAATAAGGATAGTTATCAGGGAAGAATTACATTTACAATGTCCAGTCCATTTGTATTTGGCAAATTTTGAGAAAATACTTCATTATCTATCTTCTCTTGATGAGTCCAAAGTTTTGTATTAATTTATCTTCTATCATAACTAAGGAAAACTATAACTAGTCTTCAATTCCATCAAAGACCCTAGAAGGATATAATATTACCTGAGTAAACAGGAAGGGCAGTGCAAATTGCTTCCAAACCTATAGAAATGACAGACACCTGGCTGCTTGGACAGTTACCCAAGATTCTTTTGCAATGTTGGGGCATCTATCTTCAACATACAGGCCTAGAATATCTGGCAGACTTTTCTATGAAGCAGGAATTTTTAAGTACTGCCCTGCCTTACATTGACAAATTTTCCT